AAGGAGCTCTGGGGTTGTAGTTCAGTGGTAAAGTACTCATGGGTTTAATCTCCAGTACTGGGGGCGCGGGGAGAAAGAAAGAAATTCTTTTTTTAAGAAAATTATTTTTTAGGTATAGTTGGACACAATACCTTTATTTAATTTATTTATTTTTATATGGTGCTGAGGATCAAACCCAAGGCCTCGAACATGCTAGGCAATCACTCTACCGCTGAGCTACAAGAAAGAAATTCTTTATTTTTATCACTGTAGCATCTTAGACCAAATAAATAAACAACAACTTTTAAAAAGAATGTATAGTTAGAAGACTAATACTACCTGATTTCAAGATTTATAAATCATAACTCAAGGTAGAGTAGTAGTATTTAAAAAAAAATTTTTTTTTGGTACCAGGGATTGAACCCAGGGGCACTTAACTGTTAAGCTGTACCCCCCCCCCCATTTTATTTTGCACTTTGAGGCAGGGTCTTGCTAAATTGCTTAGGACCTCACTAAATTGCTGAGGCTGCTTTGAACTTGCCATCCTCCTGGTAGAGTAGTATTAATTATTAATGTTTAATGTAGAGATAGGGAAATTTTTCTGTGGAACAGAATGGAGACTCCACAAACACCAACATATACATGGGCAACTTAGTTTTGACAAAAGTATAAAGGCAGTTCACTGGAGAAAAGCCAGTCTTTTAAATTGTAACAGATGGTACTGAACCAATTAGATATCTATGTGAAAAATAAATTGTATAATATTTTACACCATATAAAAATTAACCCCAAAATGGAGAAATAGACTAAAATGTAAACCCTAAAACTATAAAACTTCTAAAAGAATAAATAGAAAGATGGGCCGGAAATGTAGCTCAGTGGTAGACACTTGCTTAGTATGTATGAGGCCCTGAGTTTGATCATAGTACCAGTGGAAGGGGGAAGAGCAAATTGGAAATTTTTTTTGTTGCAAAGCTTTGCTATATATGCCTCCAAAGGCTCAGCAGATAAAAAGACAGATTGATAAATTGAACTTCATCAAAATAAAAAATTTCAGATCTTCAAAAGAGAATGAAAAGATTTGTCACAGACTGTGAGATAATATTTGCAAAACATAATAATGTGATAGAGGACTTTCAGCCAGAATATATAAGGAATTTTCAAAACTCAATAAAAAAACAAGCCAACAAAAACAGAAAAAAGATTTTAGCAAACATACCACCAAAGAAGATACATGGATGGTAAACACATGAAAAGGAACCCAACATCATTAATTATCATGGAAATGTAAATAAAAAACGCAATGTTTTTATTTATACAATGCCTATTAAAGTTAAAGTGAAAAAAAATCTTATAAAAGTGTTGATAAGTATGTATGTGGAGGAACTAAAACCCTGCCATCTTGCAGGTGGGAAAGTAAAAAATAATGACAATGACAGTATTACGTTTTGTAAATGTCAAATGGTATGATTGGTAGTTTATTAAAATGTTGAACATATATCTACTATATGATCCAGCTATTCCACATAGCTTTTTACCCAAGATAATTGAAGGTATAGAAACAAAAACTTATATACAACTGTCTTAGCAGTCTTATTTGTAATAGCCCCAAACTGCAAGTCACCACCAGGTCCATCATCAAGTGAATGAGTAATAAACTGTAGTATAGACATACAATGGAAGACTACTCAGTATTCTGTGTTGCCCAGGCTGGTCTTGAACTCCTGGGCTCAAGCAATCCTTCTGCAGCAGCCTCTCGTAGCTGGGATGACAGGCATGTACCACTGAGACCAGCATCACCTAGGCTTTTTTTTGGGTGTTCTTTTTTTTTTTAAATTTTAGCTTAAATGTTCATTAAGCTAAAAAATACATTTTGGAGAAATTAAAAGTTGCTAGTATTGTATAGTCAGTTCCTATGATCCATTCACATGGTAACATTTTGCTATTTTTTTTTTTGTCTCTTAAGTGTGTGTGTGTACTTTTTACTGTACTCTTGTTCTGAACCACTTGGTAGTAAATGGCAGAGATTGGGACTCTTTATCCTAAATACTTTAGTATATGTCTTTTTTTTTTTAAAAGAGAGAGAGAGAGAAAGAGAGAGAATTTTAATATTTATTTTTTTTTTAGTTTTCGGCAGACACAACATCTTTGTTTGTATATGGTTCTGAGGATCCAACCCGGGCCGCACGCATGCCAGGCGAGCGTGCTACTGCTTGAGCCACATCCCCAGCCCCAGTATATGTCTTTTAAGAACAAAGACATTCTTTTACATAAGCATGGTATATTGATCAAATTCAGTATTATATATTGTTAAATTTGCCTATCTTCCCAATACAACTTTTTTAGCAGCTTTTTTGTGTCTTCTATATAAGGATTGGTAAATAGAAATTTCATTGTCATATCACTTGTGTTTCCTTAGTATATTATCTTTTTAAAAAACACTGACACTTATTAAAGGCCCAGAATTTTGTATAATGCCTCATATGGAATTGCATAATTATTTCCACTGTACCTTGGTTCTTTTTCTTGTTGTATTTTAATGCTGTGGGTATGCACACGTGTATACTGGTATATACCTGCATGCTATACTTTATTTAGGTTTATGTTGAGTCTTTTCTAAACTAGATTATAAATTTTTATAGATAATTTATCCTATAATTTTAGTTTCCATACTTTCAGGCACATGTAATACTTAATTTGTAATAAAAATTAAATATATTTAGTAAGTCAAAAGTTCTTACATATTTTGTAGTTTAAGGGGAGAGAAGGACATATCAGATTAATGAACTTAAGAGTAATTAAAGATGTCAAAGAGCACCAATGTAACAATACAGGCATTATGTTTTGTTTTATTGAGTCTTGAAGAAACTTGAATAGTCCAAAGTGTAATATCATATACACACAAAACACTGAATTCTGCACTAATTCACATGTTATTTCTTTTCATCATTCCTTTGAGGAAACCCTTTGCAATTGTTTACTTCCTTTCCATATACATGTTCCAAAATAGCCTTCCCATCTGACGTGGTATTTTAGCAGACAGTGAAATTGGAATGAAACATCTTAGACTTTTTAAAATATGTTTCTCAAGACTAGAACTCTCAGGTTGTCAAGAAGAGGTCTTTTTTAAAATATTTTTTTTTTGTTGCTGTTGTAGATGGACACAAATATCTTTATTTTTATTTATTTTTATGTGGTGCTGAGGATCGAACCCAGGGCCTCGTGCATGCAAGGCAAGCGCTCTACCACTGAGCTATAACCCCAGCCCAAGAAGAGGTCTTTTATTATCAAATAAATGTGGTTCTAAGAAAATGACTCAATCGAAGTTTTTAAGGATGAGTACAGATAGGACATTGTTCATATTGAAGTCAGCATCTGAGAAGGTACATTGTAGCCTTTTAGAGGCTCTGGTTTCCCTGCAGCTCATCTTTTATTTGTTAAGGTCCATAATAAACTTGAATTTATTATTCAGGATTATTTAGGATTTTTAATCTGTAAGCATTCAGGAACTCTTAAAACATTGTGTTTAAATTTTTTTTTTGGTAGTTGTAGATGAACAGAATGCCTTTATTTTTATTTGTTTATTTTTATGTGGTGCTGAGCATCGAACCCAGTGCCTCATGCATGCCAGGCAAGCGCTCTACCACTGAGCTACAGCCCAGCCCAAAACATTGTTTTCTTCTGTTTTAATGAAGAATGTTTAGTACACAGGTTTTCTTAGTATTGACTTTCATAACTGTCATCTGGGGCGGTTATCTCAGTTGATTTTTTATTTCTGAAGGCCTATTCTAACTCTACATTTACCTGAACTTACTGAAGAACTCCTCATTATTCAGCACATACTTTTGTGAAGAGATTCTTAGGAGTAATGGCTGACATTCTCCATATTGTGGTTTGTCTGTTGTGTATGTGCCTGTGGATAACTTGGCAATCACTCCCTCAGCAAAATACCAGCCAGTGTGGTTCAGCCAAAGTTTAAAGGAATAAAATAACTGCAACAGAAGGGTTTTCTTTCTTTTTTTTGTATAATGCTGAGTGATACTATTCTTGGTTCTTTTTTTATTGAATTGCTTAGGTAGCAGGTAGTGTTTCATTGCCATAGTTGGTATTAATAACAAAACAAACAACCACTAGCAAATGGGAATACCAGGTAATTCAGATTATCTACTTTTCACATATGAGGCTAAGAACTCTTCCTTTAACTAAAAAATGTGTGCTTAGATCAGATTCTGATTTAGAGAATGAAAAACAACATATTATCTGTTCTTTCTAGGATCAAGTTTAATGGAAAACTGGTGGTTTACTAATTTTTTCACACACATAATTTGAGAATATTTTTTATGTTTGTCAATTTTTTGAAAGTAGGGTTTTTGGGGCTTATTTCAACTGCAGTAGGAGGAGGTACTGATTCACCAAATTGTGTGAATTAAAGGCATGATCAAGGAATAGGCCATTGAAAATGATGGGCCTGCAGTATTAAAAGTGCTTTGATCTTCTGTTTTGACACGCTGAGTTTATCTTTAATTATATGTGATGACATTTGATTACTATACACTTAGACTATTATAATGTGGTTTGTAAAATGTAGTTTATAGTATGTAATAACTTCAACACCCGTTTTTTTTTTTGTACTTATGAGTATGCAGAGTGATGTTTTAGTTTTGTTTAAATGAAAACTGTTGGACTTTTGAATTAGCAGACATTTAAAAAGTAAGATATTTAGTAGTCAGGCAAAGTCTAGTTCCTGTAAAGTAAGGATTAGGAGTGTTCCTGTGACACCTGATGTCTTATTTTACAGAGGTTAACAGAATTATCTGTGGCGGTTTCCTGATCTTTCCACTAACTTGCTGCTTTACTTCAGGTAAATCACTTAAGTTCCCTGAACTTTTGAAAAATGAAAGCCTTAGACTAAATGATATCCAAGGTTTCAGTAATGAAAGTATGCTTCTCCTATTCTAGGATGTCTGTAATGGGCATAGTGTGCATGACATACAATAGAATTTCCAGACACTTTTTTGGGGTGGTGGTGCTGGGAATCGAACCCAGGGCCTTCTGCATATGAGGCAGGCACTCTACCAACTGAGCTATAGCCCCTCCAGACACTTAAAAAAATATTTTTGTTGTAGATGGACACAATACCTTTATTTATTTGGTGCTGAGTGAGGATTGAACCCAGTTCTAAATGCTTATGAGGCAAATGTTCCACTGCTGAGCTACAACCTCAGCCCCTTGAGACATGTTTTTTAAAAGAAGAATATTTTTTAAAAATTATTGTGTCAGTTAATGATTTTTGGTTTTGCGTTTTGATGTGGAAATGAGGTACTGAAAAAAGGAAAAGAACAATGACTTTTCCAACTTCCAGGGAGGGGCAGTAGGGTAGTGGGTTACCCTGCTGTAGGCAGCAGGTATAGACAGCACTTTCAGTTGGAATTTCCTATATTATGCCAGTATGTTAATCTTTGGGATCTGATACTTTTCTTTGAAATTGTCTGCTTTGCTTGCATTTACATGTCCAGCCCTGGATTTACCCCAATTTAGGTAATTACATGTCCCACTTCTGAAAGGTCTTTAAAAGTTTGAGTCTAATTCTAATTCTCTAAGTGAAATGACAAAGTTATTCTTATTTTTCAAATAGTAGATAGATATAATAATTTGACCTTTAAAACATTGAATCAAATTTGCCAATGTTTCTTATGGCAAAAAACAAAGCCAAAACTAACAAATCCTCCAAGCCCAGTGACTATTTCCAAAGCATTACTTGGGGCATAATATTCCATGTGTCTCTATCCTGAGTTTGCTCATTTTTGCCATACCCCAGTTCTTTTCTTTCTAAGAGGTAAAAATCTTATATTGTAAAAAGTCTGTTGCATAGAAGTATTAGGTATGATTATTTACTGCCTAAGAACTAAACAGTGGTGCTTTGGTTTGGATTTATTTACTGACTGGTCATAGTAGGTTTTGCCTATAATGAGTACTTTGAGATTTTTTTGAACTAAAAGCATACAACTATATAGAGTTTGTGCCAAGTAAATGACACAGAAAACCCCAGAAAGGTATGATATTACAGTTGCATATCAAATTATTCTTTTCTGTTCACAGATTATAGTTGTGTTAAAATTTTATTAGCTTTTATTTCTTTCTGGAGAGTGTGTAAAAGTGAAGCCTTACTAGAAATCATTACATGGTAGTTAACTGTGGACCATATACTAATGGAGAAGAAAAGTAATCCAGATAATCCCAAACATTAGATAACTATTGCTCCTCTTGTTTGGTTCAAAGAACATGGGGGAAAAGCAGTTAGGAATCAGAGTTGGGTGTTTAAATCTGGAAAACCCATTTTTGGTATATCCCCTGCCACAGCTCTGCAGCCTGGGCAAGATCCCTGAGATGGAATCCTAGGCAGGAAGATGATAGGGGAAAGAGCAGATTACAGAGCCTAAGGCAGTAGCACCTGAGGTTCTCTTTCTTGTTTACTATAGCTCGTGAGTATGAAGTGAACCTCAGTAAAATTCCAGATTAGGTCATTTAGCAGATGGTTGTTGAGTACTCAGAAGGAAAAATGATGATCTCTGGGAGCCAGCCTGAATTTATTTTTTTTTAAGTTATGGTGGATTAAGATAATTTCATTCTTCTTTAGAAATTTGTTAGACTGTTGACCATACCATATAAGTGCTTGAATTTTATAAATCTTTTTGACATGGTTTATCTTATGATATCACTGTAGGCATGATGGATGAGAATGCTATTACAGTTATGTTGGTATGAAACTGGTTGAACAACCATCTAAAAGAGTGTTAAGTAATGAATTTATGTTAACCTGGAGGGAGGGTCTTGAGATAATAAGAAATCTATCTTTAGCTTTCTGTTACATATATATATATATATATATATATATATATATATATATATATATAGCTGATATACTGATCAAATTTGTAATTCATATGCAGTTGGGAAGGATGGTTCAATTATTAGGTGATGGAGACAGGAATCAGACAAGGCCAAACATGCTGGGTTGATTGGCTTAACCAGTATGATAAAATTTACTGAGAACAAGTTCATAATGCAATGTATGATGCTATGTATTTTGGAATCAGGGAGAAATGGCTTAGATTTAGGGGTAGAAAAAAGACAATATCTTAAGTCAACTGCAAACTTAATATGAGCAATAATGTTGTCATGTTCCTTTCCAAAATTGCATTATGATCTTAGGCTATATTAATAAAAGTGTCTGGAACAGGATTGATGACAGTCTTCTTTCTTCCAAGTCAGATTATTCTGTTTTTCTTTTTTTAATGTACATTGTAGTTTTTTTTAAAAAAAATTTTCTAATTAGTTATACATGACAGCAGAATGCATTTCAATTCATTGTACATAAATGGAAGCATGTGGGCAGGAAAGATTATATTCTGTTCTTTAAGCACATTCAGAAGAAAATGGCTAAAACAATACGTTTTTTTTTTTTTCCCCAAATAACCAAACTGAAGAAAGAAAGATGTTTAATCTTTAAGGGGTCATAAGTGCCATCTCCTAATATTTATTTAAAGATCATTTCTACAAAAGGGAGGTTAAAATGAGATTGTAATGTCCCAGAAAGCAAAATGATGACCAGTTATTTGATGGTATATGGAGAAATAAAAGGAGAGGTCTCTGTTTCTTAACTGATCCCCACACCCCTCACCCTCCCCCCCCCAAAATGGAATGGACTGCACTGTGTTGGGAATTAAGTAGTGATTTTTCTAGGGAGTTGTTGAACTACCTACCTCTGGGCATGTGATAATAGAAGAAATGTATTCATCAGATAGGGAGTAAAATTAGTTGATTTATAAAATTCAGTCTAACTTTTTTTGGAAAAAAAAAAAAAGTCTTACTCCCTGTCATTTGGCTAAGAAACAGAGAATCTCTTTGATCATAATGGATAAATTGGAATATGTATATGTTATTATTAAAACATGTCTGTTTGCTTTTGCAAGGTGCTTTATTCTTGTCTACTCTTAAAATGTCTTTCTGAAGTTAAAAGGACTTAACCTGTGAGTTTAGAAGGGAAAATAATGTTCTTTCCAGGAAACATTATTTATATTTGACACATTTTAATTAATACTAAAACCAATGTGATCATACTTTAACTGTAAGAAGATAATAATACAGGGTGAATATATATATGACGGAATAGCCAAGGCCATTGGCTTGTTCTTACATTTGTTCTTTTATTCACTCATTAATTTATAATTTTTTTGGCTACCTGTTAAATGCTAGTCACTCTGTTGAGTGCTAAGGAAGTTGAAATATACTACAGTTTCTCTTATCATTTATTTAAAAAATCTGTTACTAGACTCTCTTACTTATAATCTTCCAAGAAACATTTTCATTAAAAGAGTATTACTGATAAAGAAATAAAAGAAACCCTGGTACACCCTGATATTAATTATGTCAGCTACTTTATGAATTCATACAAAAACCACACCTTTATGTACATTTTCAGTATTAATATTAAGTTGAAACTGAATTCTGAGGCAGAACTTGTTTTTTCAGAGTTGTTTCAGTTATTGTCAGAATATTCTATATTTCTTCTTTGAACTATAATTAATTTCCATGTTACTTTTTGAAAGGAAAAATAAAATACCATGTTAGTGGTTTAAAAGTACACACTAATCTCTTTTTCTTTTTCAGGAAAAAAAAAAAAAAAAAAAAAAACACCAAAAAACTATTTTTGCTCTCTTGGCTAAATAGGTTTTTCAGCTAGCTTTAATTTTAATGTTCATCATTTCTAGGTAGACAAGAATGATCTTGAAAAAAGAAAGCTTTTGAAATATTAAGCCAACAAAGGCATGGCCTGCAGGATAAGTTAATTAGTTGAACGTATTCACTGGTTATATGGCCAAGTTTCATCTTTGATTTATTCTAAAATAGGATGGTTATGGTGTTGTCTTTCATCTTAAAAGTATACCCTATTAACAGTAGCTTATAAATCATTATCAAACTAGGTAGGGTAAGTTGGTAGACCCTAGTTTTAAATTAGAAATATAAAATGAGAAATCAGTGCTTCTTTGTGTAACAGTAGTAAAAAATGGCTTAAGGCAGCGGTGGGGTGGGGTTCTGTTCTTTATCTTCCAAGTCTTATCTAAACACATCTAAGACAACTGCTACTATCATAAGTTCTTTCTCTGGTTTTCCAGGATTCTTTGGCAAAATGTTAGCCCCTACCCATCAGTCATCCCATTCCTAATTCATGGTCTTCTCTGACTTTTCCTATAGTTATCTCAGATTGCAGAGAAGTGAAAAAACCATTTGTACATCCATGTTTATAGCAGCATTTTTTAAAATAGTTGAAAGGCAGAATCAACCCAAATGTTCATCAAAAGAGAAAGGAATAAATAAAATGTGGCATATAAATATAATGGAAGATTATTCGTCATTAAAAAGGAAATTCTGACACATACCACAGCACGAATGAACCTTGAGGACATTATGCTAAGTGATATAGGCCAGTCAAAAAAACCAAATGGTATATGATTCCACTTATATAAGGTATCTAGAATAGTGAAACTCATTGAAAGTAGAATGGTGTTTTCCAAGGTATGGGTAGAGGGATATAGCAATTTTTTAATGGATAAATAGTTTCAGTTTTGCAAGATGACAAGTTTTAAAGTTTGGTTGTACAACATGAATATACTTAGTACTATTAAACTGTATACTTAAAATGGTTAAGATAGTATAGTTTATGTTATATGCATTTTACTATAATTTAAAAAGAATCTAGATGCTGTGTTGCATGCCTATAATGCCAGCAACATGGGAGGCTCAGGCAGGAGAATATCAATTTCATAGCCAGCCTTGCCAACTTAGTGAGATGAACTTAAAATAAAAAATAAATAAAGGGCTGTAGAAGCAGCTCACTGGTAAAATATCCCGGTTTCAATCCCTAGTACTGCAACAACAACAACAATAACAAAACTTTCAAAAATATTTCAAAAGATTTACTAAATAAATGCATTCATTTTAAAAAAGATTGCACAAAAATGAAAAAAAAAGTAGTCCTCCACTAAAACATATTGCTACTGTTTACTAGATAGACTTTGGTTTTTAGAATTTAA